ATAATAAATCAGTAAATCGTTATTTACTAATTTGTTGTTGATCTGAGTTTCTTAGCTTTATATAATGGTTGGGAATAAGATAATAGTCTAGAAATATGTATTAATGCTTCTTTCATCATCTTACAAAACATCATTGCATATTTCCACAATGTCTCTAATTTTTACAATATCCCCCCTCGACATTTCCAACATATGTCCTATATTTTGGTAAGCGACATTTCCATCGACATCGACATTTTAAACCTTGATGGACCCCACTGGCTTCTTTCAATGTGTCCTTTGGCCATATCTTCCTTCATTATATCCCATGTACCCATTTTCATTGACATTTAATATCCCCCAATCAAGAAAAAAGGGACTTCTTTTTTATTGTCAGAAAACATGTTAAAATAGAGAAGAAAATTGATGTTAAAGGATTTAGAGCCCATCATCATCATCTAAGCCTTGTCCCAACGAATGGGACTAGCTATTTCAGATTTTTTTGGGGGTTTAATAACAAAACAGATTGCACTAATTAAGAGAAAAGCTCCTTCTGGGTAGTAAGAGGTACAAGTCTATCCTCCACTACATCATTAAGTTAAAGAGAGAAACTTCACACATACAATCCCAGCCCAGGTATTCCCCCATTCAAGAATCTTGTCGCCCCTGTTTTTTGCTTTTTTTTTATTTGGATGGTCTGTTTACGCAATCAGATTGGATATGGATCTGACCCCACCTGATCCAATTAAGATCTGGCTCTCATGAAACTTTATATAATATGCAGTTACGTACATAGTATTTTATTTATAAACATATAACTATGTATATACACATATAAATGGATAAAATGTATAACTATAAAAAGTTTAAATAATTCATATTCATATAAATTTGTTCTGTATCTATAGGCTAAAGAATGATTTTTTTTTTAATTTAAGTTTTCTTTATTTTAGAAATGGTGAAGCAGACTCAGATTAAATCTGATAGGATCCAACTCTGATCCATAAATCCAATTGTATTTGTATTTATGCTTTTGATAATTGGATTGGACTCAGATTGACTGGATCCAATCTTAATCATCCCAATCCCAATTACATTTTCAAACTTAGCTAACAAAGAATCCAACCAATTGCTTGTGTCACATTTAGTGATTATTATAATAATTATTGTGTGAATTTTGTTAGAGAGTTTGTCAAAAACTAATTCTACAAAGAACAAACATATTATACAGTTGCCTGAAAATATGAAAAAACAATGTAGTTTCCAATAGCAAAATTCAAACTTATGGATGAATCTTTGCTTACCTTTCCATTAGGAAATTCTGCCCTGTAAACACGACCAAGGGAACCTTCACCAATAAGGTATTCCTGACTAAAGCTGTTGGTTGCCATTTGAAGAGAAGCTACAGTATAGGAAGTAGCAGTAATAGGTGATTTTGCTCTACTTATAGATCCATTTTTCCCATATGCCCTCTCAGCCATCACTTTTTCTGCAGGTGGGGGTTTCAAATCTGTAGCTACAGCCATACTCCTAAACTTCTGCTCTTGAAGCTCTGTGCTGATTACTACAAAAGTAGAAAGCAGGAAAATGTCAGGATGCATGTCACGAGAACTTATAGCATCCTAAAACTTTTGAGAAAGTATAATTTGTATTAAAGAGCAATTAGAGGATGAACCACAATACAGGTAAACTGTACAAGAATAAATGTACATAGTTTTTTGGCACAAATGACAATGTATTGGTCATTACATTTTTTTTCTTCAATCTGAATTCATTCATAATATAACATTGTATCAATTCCTTTCCTTGGAATCTATTATGATCTCAACTTGCTCATTGTATGTTGCAAATATACTTAGATTGATATGTTTTGACTTTTGAGGTCAGTGTTCAATGCTAATTTTCGTAATAAAAAGATGTTGAGTGCAAATGTCTGACAGAAACCTCTTGTGTGAGTAGAAGGCATGATTTCAAGAATTTTCTTGCATACATATCCCTAATGATATCAATATACCAACTTGGAGCTCCTTCCTTTCCTACCTTCCCCCTCCAGCCCAGCCCTCCTCTCCTAAAATCCTTAGTGTACATCAATATATTTATTACAAGCATTTCATTAGTAACAGATAGGTTATATCATGCATATCTATTAACTATTCTATTCTTTTTTTTTTCTTTTTTTGACACTCTTAAGGGTACCTGTGATGCAGCAGCAAGCACTTGGTTAGATCAGTTTGAACCTCTCTGGAAAGCACTTGGTTAGATCAGTTTGAACCTCTCTGGAAACCCAAAAAGAAGTTAACAGATTTGAAGAAAAGGAAGAAATGGTCTGAAAGAGACTTCTGGCGAAAATTCTCATCTTGAAGGAAATTTACAGGAGAAGAATTGGTGAAAACTAAACTGTGGGGTCTACATAGTTCTTGTTATTTTGAAAATACTATTTTATAGTAACTCTCTGACGCACTATTTATAATTCTCATAATTACTATTTTTAGTAAATTCACGGTTTACTATTTTGAGTGATTTCTGAAGTCTTTAAATTAAAGTAGCTTTAGTCGGATTAGGAAAGTGTTATTAGAGTTGCTTAGGAGTTGGAGTCCTTATTTTAAGTGTCCTAATGGGTTAGGTATGGATTTGTCTTAGTTCTAAAGTAATTAGGAGTTGTGTTGGGTCAATTTCCTAATCCAAATTGGAGTCTGAAAGGGGACACCAAGTTAATAAATTAAGTCTATAAATGGAGTCATTGTAATTGAAGTTGAATGATTTGATGAAATAAAGTCTGGTTTAGTGAATTCTGGTTGTTGCCAGAAATTTTTCTCTTCTTCCCCCTCTCACTCTTATTTATTCTTCTAAGTGATCTACCTCTTTTCTGTTTACCCTAACAGCAAGACTTCTTCTCTTTCTTCTAATTTCTTGCTCAATCTTTGATGACAGAAAGCATTCTACTGGCTTTACCACCCATGTTCTTCATCCCTAATCACTCACAGCCCTCATTCACCCCCACAAAGCCCACCACCAGATCCTAAGTTGGTAGGACCCCTACCCATCCTACATCAACCTGTCAGACACTTGACAGTACCTATATAATTTTACATCACATATCGATACCATATAAATAGGTTCTTTAAGGGTGGGAATTGATTCATTCAGACACTTGGACTTATTTGTGTGATTTTATCTTGGACAGTCTAAAGGTGTCAATAGAACAATACACTTTGAGATTTAGAAAACATTCAATTAGACAAATATTAGAAACTCAGATATTTTATTATTTTAGAAATAGACAATTGAATTTTTCTTCATCAGTAGTTAGTTGAAGTTATTTTCTAAGAATTGTACGAGTTGCTTAGATAGAGGATTTGGTTGTTATGGATAATTCATTAATTCTCCTTTAAGAGATAATTAACATCAAAAGGAAGATTGTCAAAAAAGTTACATGAAAAAGAAAGTGATAGTACACTTTTTTCTCTCTGGATAAATCTCAATCTAGGGGCAGAATGCACAAAACCAATGAAAGTGTCAAGTAAAGGTAAACAGGAGACGGGGGATTCTTCATCGTTAAAAAGTTAAGATCATATTCAAGAATAACAAAATTTCTTACCAGTAAGAAGACATGAAAAAGAAAATAAATATATTGAAGAACAAAAGTAAGTAAAAGTACCTCCGTCTGTGCCAACTGGAGTTCCTGAAGAAGGTGCTGCACTACTTCCTCTCTCTTTTTTACCCCTTTTAAGGCAAAGAATAAAAACAATCACCACACAAAGAGCAACCAATGTTGAACCAAGAACTATGCCTACCAAGGCTCCTGTTGCCAAACCCTTCTTATCATTTTCATTGTCATGGGATGCTTGTCCATCAGATCCCTGTGGTGTATGTGTGCCTGGCCCAGAATGGTTACGATTATTATGTGATCTACCAGGGGGAGGCGGAGTATATGGCGGAGGAGGAGGAGCAGGACCATTCTCAAAAGAATTCCCATCATATCTGTTTTATTGGGACCATTTAAGTTGAAAAGAACATAAAAGTTGAATGCACCAAAATAAATATGAACAAAAACGTTTTTAGAGTCAGGATTTGCTCCCAACAAAAACTGTCCCACCACGTTTGAGATGAGACTGGGACCCACTATGTTTGGGATGTGCAGGCACGGATCATTTTGGAACAGCATTTTGTTGGGAGCAGATCCAGTCTTTTTTTTTTTCAAATGTTCATATGAATAAAAACATGACAACATGTTAATAACTTACATAAAATTTGGGATTGAAGAAAATTCCCGTGGTACCCATCCGGTGAAATGGTTGTTTGCAATATTTCTGTTGAAAACTTAAAAGAGTGTCAAAATAGCAATCAATCACAAACTGAAACTCATTACAAGAAGAACTTACAGATTATCTAGAGGTAGATCTGCAAGAATATTAACTGAACCAGTTAACTGATTACTTTGCAAATACCTGCCAGAAATTCACAAGTCATAAAATTTTCAAAAAAAAAAAGAAGAGAAAAAAAATGCAATCAAATCCTAATCAAAGAACATATTCTAAAGACTTACAGAGTAGAAAGGTTGGACAAAGAACCAAAGGAATTAGGAAGATCTCCACTGAAGTTGTTGAAAGAAAGATCCCTGAATTTACAAAAACGTCAAAACTCCAATTTCTTTTTTCATTTGAAAAAGAAAAGAGGAAAAAACCCAAAACGTAGTGCCTGTTTGAGAGGGCTGAAAGCATAGTGGCTTTTGGCTTTCCAAGGTGGGCCCCACAAGGAGAGCCTATAGCTATGTTTGGTTAAAAATCCAGAGAGCCCATATTGGCTGTCAGTCAATCAGTCATTTGAAGGGTTGTCCACTTGCCTCTATGAATAGCTTATCTGGAATGCTTAAAACATATGAACCAGCTTTGCTGAACTTCAGCTCAGCCCACATAAACAGGCCTGTAGAAGTAGAGGCACTAAATCCAGAATAGCCGAGTCTGAATAAGTATATCTAACATGATATACACAAGTGGCATGGTTACATCACTCATGCATAGTTTCCTAGATTTCTTTGCAGGGGCAAAACAGCTTCATATAAACATTAGAAACGCACCTAATTGCATAATCTTCATATAGCATAGCTTCATAAAAATATCATCTCATGTCTTAGGTGTTTTCTTGAGATGCAATAGGACTTCCAATTCTAGGAATATTTCTCATAAAAAATGTTTGAGCATAATGTCACACCCTCACTAAGTATATAAGGAGACGAGCCTTTGGCTAGAGGATTAGGGACATTTCTAGAGGATTCTGGACAAAATAAGATCATTCCGTAAACATCTGGAGCACTTGAGAGAGTTCTAGAGTCTTCTCCAATGGGCTGGAGTGCTCTGGAGTTATCTAGTATTGTGGAGTCTCCAACAAATGTGTGTGTGTGGGTGGGGTGGGGGTGGGGGGTAGATAATTTTATGTACATATGTCGTATATAACTTGTATGTGGAAGAATCTAGACTTAGGGATCTCTAGAAGGGGTCTAGACTCTAGAATGTTCCACTAGAGGAGGTGGAAAGAAATTATAAATAGGCAAAGACCTCTCTCATTTGGGACATCCTCTGCAAACCCACAATCCATTCACAATTGTAAGCATTGTATGTGTGCCTTGTATAGTTTAATGCCATTATTATTTACCCATGCCAATTTCTGTGCCAGTGCGTTTGTTATGTGTTAGGGTGAGGGTCTTGAGCACATTTGTGCTAAGGAGTGCACAAGGGGGTATGTCTTCACAGCACCCAAGCAGAGGATTGATCCTGGTTGGGGTTATGGTGACTCTACCCATAGGACAAGTAGAGTGTCGCATGACTTGCTAGGGATGTAGTCAGGGTTGTGAGTTGTGTTGGTATTAGAGCTCAAGGCAGGATGTCATAAATTGGGTTGTGAGTTGTGTTGGTATTAGAGCTCAAGGCAGGATGTCCTAAATTGGGTTGTGAGTTGTGTTGGTATTAGAGCATACACTAAATAGGATTATTTTTAGGAACTAAACCATTAAGATTGTTTTAAGTTACAAAGAACAAAACGACTTTTGCTTATTCATTTTGTCCATCTATTCTGAGCTTTCAAGACATGAATCTTATTTTTCTTCATTTTTCTTTCTGCATGTGGTTGTATCAATGAGGGAAAAGCTTTCTACTCTGATAGTATTAGCATCTGAGTGCATGATTAATTTACTATCAATGAAATATATTCTGCTGGGTTTTGATTACATTTCAGGAATTTGTGTTGTTTCTCCTCCGAAACATAAAATGGAGAAAGAATAAAAAGAAAAAGAAGAGAGTAAGTTTCTTACAGAATTGAGAGACCCTGTAGATTTGCAAAAATGTCACCAATAGACTGGAATATCGAGTTATGGCTTAAGTTCCTAAAATTAAAAAATAAATAAATAAAGGCCACAGCATTATGGTCTCAACCACCAAATTGTGATCAAAATAGAGCATGCGTAACTTAAATATAACAGCACTCAACACATGGCACTCACAGGTAATTGAGGGAAACCATGCTAGAAATGGAGTAAGGAAGATTCCCACTTAAGTTGTTACTTGCAAGGTTTCTGCATCGCACAGAGGTGAGGCATTTTGCTCATCAGATAATTAACAGCTTGCAAGCACAAAAAGAAGAAAAAATGAAAAAATAAATATTAAATGATCTAAGTATCGAACATTACAGGCTTGTAAGATTTGGCGGTAATTGATACGGAATCGAATCATGAATGTTGTTGTCACTCAAATCCCTGTTAAGAAGTAATTGAAAAGAACAATTAACCATAACGAAGAAAAAGGTTAAATTTTCAGTTTTCCGTGTAGAAAAAACAAACGAAAAAGCAAAAAAGATAAAGGAAGGTTTTGCTCACAGTGTTCTTAATGAAAAAAGACTGGAAAGCATGTATCCCAAAGTCCCACTGAGTCCGAGCCCGGGAAGCTGACTGTTGCGATAACCAAATAAGAAATAAATGAAGTAATATAAAAATTAAAATTAAAAGAAAACTCCCCATCGGTTGCATCAATGTATTGAATGAGAAGTTTTTCGGAAAAAAAAAGAAGGAAATTAGACTGAAATGTCTCCTCTGATGAATACATACTTACATCGCAACAACAGCAGACCCCTGACAAATAACACCTTTCCATGATTCTCCACATGGATCACCGCCACCTGATTTCCACCCTGTTAACCGTGGAGGACTGTTCAATGAAACGTATAGAACCTGAAGGGATTGAACTGCAAATCAAAAACTAATTTTTTCAGTCCCCAGAAGATAACACAAGCACAATTTATATCAAGAGATCAGTAGAAACAGACAGACAAACAGAAAAGCAGATGAGATCCACGGAAGGCAATGGTAAGTTGGTAACTCCTATACTTGCATTCAGAAAAACCTTTCCGCAATCGAAACACTAAGCCACTAACTAGGAAACACCATCCCATTTCCGAATCAATTACATCTAGAAGGATCAATCAAGTAAGTGACCGAGCACTAGAAGAAGAAATTACCATCCAAAGGATCGGTAGTTGCACGAACGAGAGGCGGAGTGAAAATGACAGTAGTGAGTGTCGCCAAGGCAATAGCAGAACTAACAGTGAAGAAACGAGAGGTGGAAAGAGAGGTTCTTCTGTTCGTCCCCATTTTGATTTACAGAGCTCTTTTACAGTTGACACTCCATTTCTCTATCACGCATGCAAGACAACACCGGAAGCCAAGACGAAGAGAGTAAGCTGAGAGAGCTCAGATCTTCTTCTTGCTCGACGGTTTTCTCCATTAAAGAAGAGAAGCAGATTCGAAGCTCTCAAGAAGAAGAGAGAAGTGTCGGCAAAAGTAGGAAAGAGTAAAAAAAAGAACAGAAAGAAAAAAATAAATAAATTAAATAAAGGTTGGAACTCGGGAGTATGCAAGCAAGCAAGGTATGGCTCCTTTCAGGTCTTTCGCTCTCTGCCCCCCTCTCTCTCTCTCTCTCACCTGTAAGCGAAATTGCGAAAAACACGAGCATTTAAACGTGGAGATCGAAGGTACAGGAATAGCCTCAGACCATGACCAGTTATTACGTAAAGGCCATTACCCTTCGTCACTTCTTCGTTCGTGGGCCCTGGGCCGTGGAATGGAGTTGCAGGCAGATCCAGGCTCCGATTTCAATTTAATTGAACTCTCTGAGTCTCATCACTTCATCGGTAATGAACGAAGCCCAAGGGCCGACCGGCCGAGGGGACATTTAGTAACGGCTGAAGCGGCTGAACTGAATGATTTATTTATCTTGTCCTTAGTGAGAAAGGGTTATGGTTTTTCAGTTTTTCTTTATTCTTTTCCCTGTGAAGAGTAGATATAGAATACTTTGGCTTAGGCAGTCCGTGCAAATATTAATTAAGTAGGTGAGTGAGGCTCATATATCTATATGTGCATTTAAAGATAGTAAAATTAATGCTAAATAATTCCAGTAATAAATAAAAGGTAACGTTATTGTCTGCTCCATTGCTCCGTTTTTTTTTAACAACTAGTCTTCTTTATACCTAACTGCATGTGTATTGGAGAATAAAGAAAATGGAAAGAGAGTGGCAATGGCAGAATGTGTAGTATGTAGTACGCTCTCTTAACTATTAAGGCGCATTTTGGGAGGAGTGCAATGAATCGTACATATTTGTATGTGCACTTCTCCCAAACTGAGCCTAATAAAAATACCAAAGCATGAGTTTTACTTCGGTAATGGGATTTTGTGTTTCACCTCTTATTAATATTTAATTTAAAATATTGAAGTAGTGCGTCAATTAAGGGTTTTTTTTTTGTCATTTTTAATTTTGGAGAGAAATAAGGTTTTTTCATCTTTATCCTTTTAGGCTTAGTTTGGAAAGAATAAAAAAACAAATATCTACAATGTAAATACACACAAAATAATTCAAATTTGTACATATTTATATTTGTACTAGGCTCAGTTTGGAAGGAGTACAAATACAATTATGTAGAATGCAAAATCTTGTATTTTGTATTATTTTATTTATATTTATATTGTATAAATTTATATTTGTACTTCTTCCAAACTGAGCCTTAATAAGAAAAAAAAATGATTACCCTTGTGAGGAAATAAATGATTAAAGGTTGATAGTCAACACCATCGTTGCCCCAGACAGTTGAATTGTTCAAGTCAGAAATTAGATCCTTCTTCAGCCCTAAACTGTTTTTTCCTTTCCCAAAAAAATTAAATCATTGAATTAGTTAATGACTCAATGACCTTAGGTGGTTGAACAATCAACCCATTTCAACAGACAATGATTTTTAGGCTAATTTTTTATTTTAATTACTTTTATTTTTAAAATTTTTAAAGTATCATAGGCTGATCTATTTGAACCAGATGATCCAACGGCTGGCCTGGAAACCAGTGACCAAACAGGTTCCAATTCCAAGTTGGATTTAAAACATTTGATTTTTATTTTGACTTTTGTCGCTTTTAAGGGCTATTCTCTAATTTGAGTGTTTTTCTTGTGTTTAAGTTTCAAAAACAAATAAAATTAGGCCCCATTTGATTCGCAAGAATGGGTGGAATTGAAATCGGGATGGGCCTTTCCAATTCTAATTGTTTGGTTTAGTGGAGTCAGAATCACATTCTCATTCCTGCTGAAATGACATTCCCCCATTTGAGGGAATGGCCATTCCTGCTCCTCCCTTGGGTATGAAATCTCATTCTTGCAGATACCAATTCATTCCCATTGTTGTTTGAACCAAACAGACTATAGGAATAGACCATTCCAATTCCGATTCCTAAGAATTTTAATTCTGATTCCAACTGTAAACCAAATGGACCCTTAGTCCTTAAAACAAAATTAGAGAAAACATGCATGCTGTTTGTTGTTAATGTGTCTTTTGTTTCTAAAACTGTAACCAACAATTCTTTCTTGAAATTCTGGTTCAAAGAGCATGTTTTCATCTGGTCATTTGATATCATGTTTTCATAGATCTTATGATATTGGCAAGTCCAAATTTTGTTTTGATAATTTTCTTGGTAAGAAAATTTTTGTTTTGATTTTACAACAGTAATTCTAATGGTTTCAAAAACATTAATAAACAAAAAATGGACTTATTTATACTTTTGATTCATAAAAAAAAAGGTTCAACTGATGGCCCAAAGACACTGTACTGAAAAACTTATAGCTAAGCCAATCAACCGGCATCATAAAAGTGATAACCAGCAATCAGATAGTTTTTTTTTTCTTTTTATCAAAATTCACAGGATGTTTTGATTGGTGAAAGACCTTCCAGTATCTTTCCAGCATCATAGTTTTTCTTCCTGAAAAACATTGTTCAATAATGTGTTTTAATTAGCTTGTTGTTATAATGATTTGAATAATAAACTAAAACAAAAACATTCATATCATACAACACTCACTTAAATATTCACCTTACCCAAATAAAACATGAAATTTGTTCTTGGGATGGTTTCTACATGCCGTAAGCTCCACATGTTCCAGATCTGCACCTTTTCATTTGCTAGGTTTCAACTTTCAAGCTTTAAGCTCAGATCGATCATATTAAATTATAAAAACAAATATAAATAAACAGATGTTGCTTTTTCTTCATGTTTTTGTTTTCTGTTGGAAGGTTGGCCAAGTCCCAATGACAACTCTCCACAAGGCAAAACAAAACAATATTTAATTAAAATATAAAATAGAGCAGTCAGCAGTGTTTGAGGTTCCATTCAAATGATGGGGAAAGGGCTGTCTACTGATCAATTCTGTAGGTTGAATAAAAAGCTAGCTATACGAGAAGAACTACTTTGAGAAACTGAAGTCCTAGTGCTTTTGGCATCATTCATTCCAATTTCCAAATGGTAGGAGAAAGAAAAGGAAATGACTTCAAATTCACGTGATTGTCCCCAATGCCTCTAAAGTCTAAATAACCATGTATTTTCATATAAAAGACAACCGGATTTATCCTTTTCAAGTGATGGGTTCACAAGATAAATGTGAGTTAGAAGCTTTGCCAGCTTGCTTAGTGGCTGAATCCGTGACCTTCTAGTTGGAAAGATCATATTTCGCAATTATATACACAGCATCAATCAGGCAACCAATAAAAAGGTAAAGCCCATTGAGATTATATGAATTGTTTTGGTGTAATGATACATATCTTAATTTTTCTATTGTATTCATATGTATTTAAATAAGCTATATATTCAATGATCTGCAAATAAAGAAGGATTTTGAAGGTGAGATAGCTAGCTGGGCCCATCTCCTCCATTACCAAACCCCAATGTGAATTGGACTTTACGCTAGCCTAATAGGAGGAGGAGAGGACATGGAACTCTTTTGGGCTGTCGCCCAAGCCACCATTACCAATTTACCATGGGCATGGGTACCTGTAAATCTGTCAGTCACAGCAAATCCGTAGTTGATTTTAAGTTTAGGTATCAAGAACAGGTGGAATGAGCCACCTTTATTCTTTTCCCAAAAAGGGGAGGAGGAACCCGTGATCCGCCATAGAGATTTGTTGGACAAAGCAAACAAGAATCCCACTTGACTGATCTCGCAATCCATTCCTTCAGATCAACAGCGATCAGTTCGATCACCTTTGGAATTAATCTGTACTTCCCTCCTTTTCTGGCCAAATGTCAAAAGGGAAAATGTCCACTGACTCAATCTGGATTTCAGGAATTATTTATTTTGAATTCAACAGCTTGGTTATCTTGCCATTTGTCATGTAGCCTTTCGTTGTCTTTCTTTTACGCCAGTGAATAGGGCATCTCTGTGTACGAACGAACAGTGGTTAGTGGTTCAAATGCAGTGTTGGAGCTAACAGAGGGTTGGATAGGGGGTTCATCCGTTCATGCAATGATGCTGCAGCAAAGAGGGGATTTGAATAAAGTATCAGGTGGACAGCTAGATAGATAGTGCAATCACTGCAGTCCAATGGAGCTTCTCGGATCATGACCGGTTTTATGAAATATAAAGAACAATTTCAGCTTTAATACAGTGCCAAAATCATTGGCCAGATTGGATCATGACCCTACAAAAATAATTTAAAAGGAAAATGTAAGAAAATGAAGAAGAAATTGATTTTTTTAGAATTATTGTACTTATTAGCTATTAGTTTACATTGTTGAAGCATCCTTAACAAACTTTTGAAACCTCTTTCAATCCTTTCTTGTTATTAATCTCATGTATGTTAGTACCAAGGATTAGAATCTCATGTATATTGATATATTGTTGTCTTCGTAAGTGTTTGCCAACTTAAAACACATGTTGCCCTTTTTAATACCCTATGAGAAAAGGCTATTCAAGGGGTAGATCATCCCTAGACTCATAACCCTCAAACCTCAGATAAAGTAAGAATTAATCTCATGTATGTTAGTACCAAGGATTAGAATATAAAACGACATGGAATGTATTATATCGGTATTGATAATATCCAAATTCGTTTTATCGAAATATCCAAATTTATTTAAATATATCAATATATAAACATTTTAAAAACTTTAAAAGGGTTTCAGACTGCTTTTAGGACCCTCTCATTATTATAAAATAAAAACATAACAAAAAAAGAATATCAGATATAAAGAATTAAGGGTATGCTATTTTAAGAAAACACCATTTTAAGGTTCAGTTTTTTTATATCTTTCAAGTACAGGCGATTCGATCCCAAATCTCTACTAAACCAACGGGAGACTTACCAACCAGCTGGTTGGCACTAGACCTGTTCATGGGCCGGGTGGCCCGACGGGCCGGCCCGGCCTGACTCCCGGACGGGCTTGAACAGGATTTTTGGCCCGCAGGCTTAACCTCGGGCCAAAAAGCCCGGCCCGCATAAAATTCGAGCCGGGCTCGGGCTTTGCTAAAATAGCCCGGCCCGAGCCCGGCCCGGCTCGACTTATAGTTAAACTTAAGTAAATCCGGCCCGACCTATAGTTAAACCTAAGTAAAAACCCTATGTGATGTCTATTTGAATAAATTTTTTGATTTGAGGTCATTGATTCACTTGTAGATCCATTGTTCATTTAAATAGGGGAAAAAACATTTAAATTAAAATAGAAAATGTCAGAAAATTTTGAATTTCTTTTATTAGATCGGGCTTCGGGCTTTTCATCAGGGCCGGGCTCGGGCCCAAATTGTAGGCCCATTGGT